CAGTATATATATCAGGGCTCGCAAAATTTCAAAATCCCTGGTAGCCCTTCGGGCAGGTACTCTTCATATTTTGGTAGCCCGAAAATTAATTTAACTAGCCCAAATAAAAAATTTAATTTTTTTAATATAGAAAATCAGATAGGAGTTTAAATGTCAATCAAAAAAATTTATATATATATTATAAACCAAGTCATTATAAACCAATCATTTATATAGCTATGCAAATTTAAAGTGTCATTTAAAAGCCTGGTGCAGTAAAAGCTGTTTTAAAATTAGTAATACTATTAGACCATTAACTCTAGTACAAAGCCCAAATTTTAGCTTTAAAGCATCGTTTATGTGGCTTCAAGAAACAGCATTGTGAAATGAATTCAACGATAAGAGTCCACAAAAAAGTGGTATGGTATAGGTATGGTAAAAATTACCTCCTCACCTCAGTATTGTTTTACAGTAAGAGGATGCAATTGTAACGTAGAGTGCATTTTCTTCATTGAAAGTAAATTGCGTCAAATGGTACTTCTATGTGCCTTACTCTCAATGCCACTTCAGCGGTTACAAGGCGGGCGTTAGGGCTGCACGATTAATCGAATGCAATTGTCATGCGCATTTTGTTAGTAAAGCGGTTCTGTAATCAGCAGTAAATCATCATCACGTGCTTTCAGATGGAGCAGAATTTACTACACAGAGCCGTAGTTCACTGAGAAGCTATGCAAACAGCTGTCATTATCGCGAACGATTTCATAATCACGCAATAAAATCGTGATCTTTTTGCGTAATTTGTCAGTGAACTACGGCTCTGTGTAGTAAATGCTGCTCCATCTGAAAGCTTGTGAAAATACCACATTTAATAACATGTTTTTACTCCAAACTCACTTCATAACGTCAGTCGAGTGTTTGAAATAAATCCTTCTGTGAGATGTGGCTTCTTGCACAGAATAAGGCACGCAACATATTTCAGTATTCTAAGCAGTGATAAAGGCATTGCATTATAAATATACTTTATTTTAATGAAAATTATAATAATAATAATAACTCAGATAAACCATATATTGTCATAATCGTTTGTTTATTAGTCACGTTGAATCAATAAAAGCAGTTAAATCTTCTGTTTATTCAGCTGCAGCGATAGGCATTTTCTGGGTTTCTTCTGCGAGGCATATTTGGGCATTGCATTATAAATATACTTTATTTTAATGAAAATTATAATAATAATAACTCCGATAAACCATATATTGTCATAATCGTGTGTTTATTAGTCACGTTGAATCAATAAAAGCGGTTAAATCTTCTGTTTACCCAGCTACCGCTATAGGCATTTCCTGGGTTTCTTCTGCTAGTAGGCTTGCCGCGATAGACGGTGCTGACGGTGATACCGGTGTTAAGCCGCAGGACCGGTTACGTCACTTGCCCACCGCGTCACCGACCCCCACCGTCGTTTTGATTTTTTATAGAAATAAAAATCATTTAGTTCAGTAAAAGAACAGACACTACAATTAAAAATTATTTATTTGGTTATATATTACACATGTTTACTTAGGTATACAAAATTGTATATAGGTTTTTAAAATATGTTAGTTATTTGTTATTTTATATTAGGCATAGCCTGCCCTATAGTATGGTGTATTTGTATTTGTTTTGTTAATAAAAGTTATATGTTTTATATATAGCCTAAAGTGAGTTTGACGTTGTTATTTAGTTGTTGCATTCAAGCAATTGACGCCTAACTGCCGCTAATTCAAAAGCGAAAGTAAAATGCGCACGGCGCTTTTAAGCTATTTAAAAGCGAGGAAAAGAGGGAAAATTCAAACGAACTAAAAACAAACAATTGCTTTACGCCGAATTGCCGCTATTTCAAAGTGAAAGTAAAATGCGCACGCCGCTTTTACAAGCTATTTAAAAGCGAAGGAAAGCGAGGAAAAGAGGGAACGCCCCGCCCCCGCGGTGATACCGGTATTACCGGTGTTGTCACACGTCGATTAACCGGTGGGAAAATTTCCTCACCGTCACAACCCTAAGGTACACTGTTAGACTTTTTATTGTATTTTTGCGGTAACTTACTGGCAGCACTATTGCCAGTATACGCATGACAATCACAGCTTCTGTCGAATCGCGATTTCGATTCCATTTCGATTTATCGTGCAGCCCTAGCGGGCGTCAGTTAGTGTAAATAGCCTATATGTCAACAAGGAGGGTTATTTGCACTTATTGCAAATAGACACTCTGTTATAGAAACAGCATTGTGAACATTGTGAAAATATAATGTCCCATCGAAACTTAAAGGGTTCAGAAAAATATATTGGATATCAATATTTTAAATATTTTAAATCATTAGACCCTGCATTAAATCCCTTGCCTCATTCAATTCTAAAAGCACTTAAAAAGACAAAGTGCTGCATTTATTAAAGAGAAGCTTGATGTGTCAGTAAGTAGCAAACATGTAGGCCCCATTTGTGTCCAAGCATAGGACCATTTCTGTTGTGTTGTGGCTTGTTTATATTGTGTTGTGCCAATTTCGCTGTGTTGCGGCGATTTCATTGTGTAGTCTAAAATTTGTTGTGCACTACTGGGCCGTAAATATCAGTCCTTAATGGGGAAAGTTCATTTTTGTCACTGCTGTGAACCAACCACCACACATTTTTTGTCAATATTATACACCCTTAAGTGGAAAATGTTTATCATACTGAAAACAAGTTTTGGACAAAACTTTCGGAACAATACGCCACCTCTGTGTTTTTAAACTTTGCTTATGGAATAACAAATGCTTTATGATTTATGTCTGAAGGAACTCTTCATGACAAGCACGCTGTTGCCCAAAGCAGAGAAATCTCTAAGTGACCACCGACAGACACAACGTATCTATTATTTACATAGCCTTGTGCAGAACTTTAAAATATGCAAAGATGCATCGTTAATCCCTTTAACTCCCAAGCGGGCATCAGACACAGTGCTTCAGCAACTTGAAATGCATTTAAAGAAGATATGTTATCGGCTAGTGG